TAGGTAGGCTGCTTTTTTACTAATACCTACTGTGAGATCTACTGAATAATTTCAGCAGCAACAAATGCCTGCTGAACACTCACTATAAACTCCCTGAGGCGATGTCAGAGGTGCAAAAAGCCTCAAGCCCGTTTGGGGAGCTTGGAAACCAATTTCATTTTCTTTTTATTTTTCTTTTTTTTTGAGACAGGATCTCACTCTGTTGCCCAGGCTAGAGTGCAGTGATATCATCATAGCTCACTGCAACCTCAAACTCCTGGTCTCAAGCAATCCTCCTGCCTCAGCCTCCTGGGTAGCTGGCACTTCAGGCACATGCCGCCATGCTTAGCTAATTTTTTTTTTTTTTTTAATTTTTGGTAGAGATAGGGTTTCGCTATGTTGCTCAGGCTGGTCTCGAACTCCTGGCCTCAAACAGTCCTCACATTTTGGCCTCCCAAAGTGCTAGCATTACAGCTGTGAGCCACCCCACCTGGCCAGAAGCCAATTTAAGCTAAGCAGGACAATTTAAAACCCTAGGAGATTAGAGAGCAGTCTAAAATATTATATTTTAGAATCTAGCACCACGGTATGCAAACTTTTTCTGTGAAAGACCAGATTAAGGCCTTCACAGGCCACATGGTCTCTGTTGCAGCTATTCGACTCTGCTACTGTAGTCCAAAGGCAGCCATAGACAACACACACGAGAATGGGCACGGCTGTGAGCCAATAAAACTTTCTAAAACTTTCTCTATAGAAGCAGCTGGTGCTCTGGATTGGGCCTGCCAGCCATAGTTTGCCAACTCCTGATTTAGCACAACGCCTGGCATAGAGCAGGTGCTGAAATATTTGTTGAATGAATGAATGGATGAATGAATAAGTGAACGGAGGTCTTTCTAAGATGACAGCCCGGTGATTTGTTTTAAAGTCCAGTGCACCATCTTTAGACATTAACTACAAGGACAGCAGTAAATACCTACTGAGCAGAAATAGCTGGATAGACGTCATCTGACAGTTGTTTCCCACTCCAAGTGATGTGTGCAGATGCAAAATTAACACATAAACCAACAACAGCTTTCACAGCAGGTATGTGAGCTAGAAGAGTGGTTTAAAGAAGCATTTCTTGAAACTGTAGATCTTGACTCATGAGTAAGTTGTGGCCTGCATTTTTTTCAAAATAGAGTAAGGGATGGGAAGAGAAAAACAGGAGGGAACGTAACAGATTATATGGATTGTTTTAAAGAAATCTGTCTTTCGATTATAATGCACTTGTATGGGTGAGTATACTGGGTTGTGAGGTAAAATGTATTTTCAAAAAACTTTGAAAAACACTTTATCTAATTATTGTCATCTCATTCTTGGGGAAATTCAGTACAGTTGTACATTTGAAGGAAACAGATACAGCGAACAAGAAGATACAGTGTATAATTAAGGGCAAGATTCTGGAGCCAGTGCCTGGATCAAATCTTGGCTCTCCCAAGCTATGTGACCTTGGGCAAGTTACTTAGCCTCTCTGGGCCTCAGATTCTTCACTGGTTAAATGGAAATCTAATTCTTATGGTTGTTTGGAGAATTAAATGAGGTGGTATGTGTAAAATGCTTACAGTAATACCTAGCATATTGTGTTAGTTTTAGCTATTATTATTCTGTCACTAACCAGCAATGTGACCTTGCATATGTGACCTAACTTCTCTGGGCTTCATTTTTGTCAGGAAATAATGTCTAAAAGCCTGCGGGTTCCCGCATTCCTAGAGAAGGGGCATTGCCACAGCTAACCTTGAGCAGTCAAATAGTCAAATGCGAGCCATCCATCTTGCTCAACTGACAGCTCTGAGGTCTCCGCAAAGCAGCCTGTTCCAGCGAAACATCCTGTAAACTAACTTGCTATCATCTCTTGAAATTCCACGCAAAGTTGAATTCAGGGTAGTGAGAGATTGACCAAATCAAGGAAAGTGCCTTTTTTCCTCTCCCTCAGATGCTTAATGACTAGCATGGGCTTCCTGTCTCTCCCATTGTCATGCATTTTATTCTGTATACTGGGATAACCACAGATAGGGGTGAACAGGAAATCTGTCCCCATGTATTTAATTTTTCAAAAATTTTCCAATGTTGCTGACTGTGAAAGGTGGTGTGAAGCTGCCCTGCAAGTTGGTCCCCTGCTTATCAGTCGCCTTTCATGATGGAATTTGAAGCCTCATCTAGCACTAAAATGCTCATGGAAAAAATTCCATTTACTTTCTCTCTCTCTCTCTCTCTCTCTCTCTCTCTCTCTCACACACACACACACATGCACACACAGACGCACACGTGCCAGCAGAAAAATAGGCAAAGTTATAACTGACTACTCACAAATAAAGACATAAAGATGGGTTATAATAATGTTCTGCTCAGCCTCACTCATGATCAAAGAAATATAAATGAAGACATTGAGATATCTTTTTTTTACCTATAAAAGGAGAAAACTAAAGTTAGAAAATACCCAGCATTAGCAATGATGTGGGAAAATAGGCAATCTCATTCTCTATTGGCAAGAGTTTAAATTGGTAAAACCTCTTTGGAGGGCAATTTTGCAATATGTATCAAAGCATTAAATACACACAACCTTGTCAGTGCCCTGACATATCAAGGCACTGAACCAAAACAGCTTTCTTATATACAGGCCTCTTATTTGAGAAAAATAAACCCTTATTTGTTTAAGCCTTTTACATTCTTAGACACTTCTAAAAATTACGGTCAGGTATTCTGTTACTTGCAGCCAAACATATTCTTAATGGATAAAATTTTTTTAATAGAAGTGAAAGAGGACATTCTTATCTTGACTTTAACATGAAGGTTTCTAATGGGAGAGGGTTTTTTTTTCCCTCCTGTTACTAAAAGGCAGCCTTTCCAGGGTCCCAGCCTTAGGACCAGATTCCTGTCTTTCTAGAACTCAAGGCCTGAACAGGTACTAACCCTCAGTTCCTGAGTAGGTACTCCTCAGTCCTTAGACATTTGTCATGCCTTTGAGTTCCCTCTTGCTATCTCACACCTGGAGCTCCCCTTTTCTTTCAGTTGTTGATACATTTTATTCAGCATTTCTGTGTTTGAAGCAGGGATTCCCTGACTTCTTGACCCCTAGCGTTCCCAGAAGATGAATCCTTTGTATTTCCTATCTTTTAAAAACCCTTTCTAGATACCAAGTGCTACACAAACTCCATAGGACGGGTGTCCAACCCAAGCATGAAGCTTCAAGGAAGACTTTCTGGAGGAGTAATCACCTATCCTGAGACCTGAAGACTGAGCATGTAATCAGCCAGGTGAAATGATGTGTATGTACATTGGGGTGACAGGTTGGAGGAAGAGGTGGGGTGACAGTTTCAAGCAGAAATATTAAATAGAGCATGTATAAATGTCCAAGGGAGGGAAAAAACAAGCAAACAGGGTATCACATTCTGAGAAGCATAAGTTCCAAGAACTGCAAGGAGTCTGGTGTGGAGCATGGAGTAAGATAAGAGGCTGGTAAAATAAGCAGAGGTCAGTTTACAAAACAGCTTAGGTGCAGGTTAGGATGGTGGACCTGAGAGCAGACAGGAACCAATGAAAGAGGCCATCAGGTCACAGAAGGTAAAACTGTCATGTTTAAAAGAAAAACAAATATAATAAATATCCCTTATATTAATTTATTAATATAAATAAACACACAAAGCGGGTTAGAAATTGCTGAAACAACTTTGCAGATGGGATGGCAATCCCAGAGGGCATTCAAGCACTAACCTCGGCTTGCCAGCATATCCCTAAACCCTTAGCACAAGGATTATAGGGCTCAGTCCCCTGCCCCCACCTCCCAGGAGTTTCCCCCACCTGCTTTGGGGAGCAGGGGTGAGCACCCACACACACACACCCATACACACATCAGCCCCCATAACTATCCCTCACATAAGGAAAGGATTTGAGAAGCAATAAAGCTTGAAAATAAAAGTACCCTGGGCCAAGGGCCAAGAGGTCTATTTTTAGAAAATTTTCTCATTGCCTGTTTGTCTTTCAGACTCAGCCTAATGTCTTCCAGGGGAGTGTTAAAGTTATTTGGCTAGAAACAAGCAAAGGAGGGAAGGAAGAAGGTGATCTAAGATCAAATAGCAGTAGCAACTGTGATGATCTTTGGATAGTGTGTTCCAATTTCCCCAGCCTGCCCTCACTGGCATTTGGTGTCCCCAAAGCAGCTTAATGTATAATATGATAGAACTCATTCAAACCCTTCCTGGCCACTTCTACTGTCCGTAGGATTTGGGCAGATCACAAAGGGAAGATAATAGAAGGTTATGGGTTTCATAAACTATTAAGCACGAACAGGGTGCTGCTGCTGCTGTCCCTCCTGGCCTCATCTTTAAAATTCGGATAGTAATACTTGATCTGATCTAATTCACAACTGTAACCAGGTTTGGGGACTAAAGCGCCCCCTACAGCATTTGGTCATCATTCTCCCTTGTGCCTACTTATTCAGAAAGGCAACAACGCATTCATTTACCGTATAAGTTGGTGAGTTATTTTAATCCATTCAAGCAGCAAAAGAGAAAAAGGCCGGCATTGTGTCTCAATTTATACTTTCCTCCAAGGGACAAAATAGGTGGCCCCAGGAATTCTGCCGCTTGTAAAACGCGCGGCACAAAACGCTCGTAGACTTGCAGTGACTTAACCCCTTCGGTTCCGCAGCCTAGACCGACTTTTAAGGGCGTCCTCCCCGTAGCCCCGTCCACCATCCCCGGTTTATTCCAGTAGCTGGATCCCGTCTCTCCCAGTCACTCTCCAGTTATGCTGTGCCGCCTGGAGTTTCTAGGGAGGGTGGTCACTGGGCAGATCGCGGCGGACCCTGGGACCAACCCCACGACCCACACGGTCCTCCTTAAGGAACTTCCGAGGCCCGGAATGGAGGCGGGTGTTTTGTTCTAAGGAGGGAAAAGTTTCTGTGACATCCAGGAAATGAGCAACTCTTAAACCCTACAGAGCCCCGCAGAAGGAGGCCAGAAGGAGGGAGCCGGCCGGGGTGTCGCCGCCCGCGTCTCCCTAGCTGCCCGGTCGCGGACTCGCGGCAGCTGCCTGCAAGCAGCGGGGCCCGGGCCCCCGACCGCGCGCAAAGCCTGCGCTCGCGCGGTCCCCCCGCGGCGGGGAGCGGGGACCGAGGCCAAACGTAAGTCCTGGGCCAGCAGCCGATCGCCTCGTGCGCTGAAGAAAGGGCGCGATGGGGAACGGGGACTCGGCAGAGCCGAGCCAGAGATCGCCGGCGGCCTGGAGTGCGGCCGCAGGGGGTGCAGGGAGAGCGGGCGCCTGCGCGGCCCCCGGCGGGCTGACTTTGGAGACCCCCAAAGGCGCGTGCGGAGGCGGACGCATTGTCCTGCTGCGGCCCCTCCTCCAGCCCGGGATGCGCTGGAGTCTCCCCGCTCCCGTCTGGGCCGCGGAGCGGGTGGGCGCTTGGCTGTAGCCGGCGCGGCGGGCAGCCCCTTCTCCAGGCGCGCCGAGCCTCGGAGCCTCGGAGCCCGGAGCGGGAGCACGTTTTTGTCCCCGGTGTCCGAACGATCCGTTACTTTTCACCATCTGAGCAGAGTGCTACAGCAGAGGGAAAAGCCGGGTCTCCCTGCTCCTTAGCCTCCTCCCTTCTCGCTTTCCCTTCCCTCCTCTCCTGCAAGGAAGGAGTAGGAGTGAAGTTTGTTTTCGGTTTCTGCTAGTGGAGTTACGGGTTTGCTTCGGGCCTGATAAAGCCCCCCGCAGCTTCCTCTTTCGAGACTGCTCGAGGATGAGACTCCACGCTGTGCAGACTTTCTCTTGGGGCTGCAAATACTCTTTGCACCCGACTCCTAACCCTAACCTCATCTTCAACCCAGTCCCAGTGCCTCCGCCTTTCTGCCTGCCAGGTGACAGGACTCAGAAGCCCCAGGGCTGGATTCCCCATACGACAAACTCCTTTCCTTTAAAAATAAAAATGCTGCCGACCGGGAAGGGAAAATATTTTACTGAACCCGGCAGGGACCTCATTTTGCCTTTTGCTCCTCTGCCTGGTCAAAGTTAGAAGAGTGTGGGAAACTGGTAGTATCCTGGATTCTGGTCTTTGGGATCTAAATCGCCGTCGCCTTCTATTTTCTTGTTACTCTCTTGCAATTGACTCAGGGGCCTTTCCATTTTACAAACCAGGTGTACCTCAGAGAGGCTGCCAGCTAAATTAATCCGTGGTTGGTGGAGTTACAGGCCTAGGTTGGCGGAGAAAATGAGGTGGCAGACAAGCAGAATTGCTGTTATTCCCTCCTTATAAAAACCAAAGGGCTCTGTTTTTGAGTCCTCCCTCCCGCCCACATGTCTAAGTGGCTTTCATTGTTTGCTAATTCCCTGTGTGTTGCTGCTGCCCCGGGCCATTCTGCCCTCAGATTTTCCACTTGTGGGTAACCGTGAAGTGGTTATACTGACTCTGCCCTCCTGAGTGGATGGAAAGGCTTTTTGTTCAAGTGCCATCCTCCAGCCCGGTGACTTTCAAAGATGCAACTTTCAACCTCTGGCATTCAGGGGGCAAGGATCTGAACTTTTAATGTGATGTTATCATCCCAGAAGTTGTCAGGTCTCTGCTCCTGCAGCACCCATTAGGGAAACAAAGAAGAGAGTGTGTGGGTGAACTTTTTATCAGAGGGCAAGAAGGGGCAGGAACTTCTGGGAAGAGGCTTCTGGCAGAATTGCCCCATCTGAGCAGGTATTGTCTGGGAGGAACCTGATTCTGTGTTTTTCCCTTTTTGGACTCTCTGGGGTCAATAAAGAGAAAGAAGGTGGGTGGCTTCTATGTGATGAAAAGAGCGCACGATTTCCTCCGTGGGAACAGTGACCATGCACCCCACACATGGAGCCCGGCAAGAGTAGGGTTGGGCTGATGGAGGTCCCTAGCCCAGTTCTCAATGCTCCTTCTTGGGAGGGACGCCCACTGCCAAACTGACTGGCGTGGAGGGTCTGGAAAGTGCGTCTTGTGAGGGAGAAGGGTACACAGGCATGAGAAGCCTGGCGGGGGGGGGGACATGACTACGGTCTTCAGGTATCCCAGGCATTGTTGCTTGAGAGAAGGAGAATACTTGCTTGGTCTGACCTCAGAAACTCACTAATCAGAAGAGACAGTGAGGCAGGAGTCAGTTTAGTGCAAGAAGGAACTTTCCAACGACTAGAGCTCCTCAGCAAGTACTGTGCTACTACTAGTCACTGTCAGCAGAGACAGCTTGTTGTCAACAGGTACGAAGGAAAAGGTGCCTTCAGAGTCCAAGGCTCTGTGGTTCCATGGTTGGAGTTAAGAGTGCCTTGGTAGGGATGAGGTCGTACGGCAGCCTGTGGGGCTATAATCCGGAAATGTACTAAGGCAGGGGCAGGTGCCCCAAAGTGTGCTAGGGAGCTGAGAAGCAGGACTTTATTTGGCTGAGACTGGTCCATCCTGGGTCCCCCTGAATCCAGTCTCCCTGGGAAGGCAGGCAGAGCCATGAGGATCCTGACGGTTGATGTTAATAATATTAACCTCCAGGGCTGCTGCTGGCCTATTGAGTCCCTTGTGTGAATTAGAGTAAGCTGTTTCCTCTCAGCAAAAGTATGGCACTTGGTACCATTGAGGAATAAAGCCTCATCTGGGTGGACATAGTCATGACTCGTAGCAGGGCAAGCAGCGTATGAGCTAGATTCACACTCACCTCCCCAGCCAGGTGCCCTTGAACAGTGTACCACTTGTACAATACGATTCACAGCAACTTTTTTTTTTCAAAAGCACTCAGCTTGTATAAACTCCTTTAATCCTCACGGTAGCCCTGTGAGTTAAGTATTATTATCCCCATTTTACAGATGAGGAAACCGAGGCACAGGGAAGTTAAGTGTTCAGGAGCCTGGAAGCTGAGTCTAATCACTGAGCATTCACAGAGCAAGAAGCAAGTTAAGCTTAAAAAGTTAGTTTAGCTGGGGACCCTCATGGAAAAGAGGGAAGAGCAGTTGCCTTTTTCTTTCTTTGTCAAGGGAGAGATAGATACCTGCTCTCAGCCCAGACAGAGGAGGATGGAAGACTCATTTGGCAGGAAAAAGAGGAGGAAAGAAAGAGGCAAGCCCAGCCTTGATGGCTGACAGGGAGGCCTGGCCCAAGAATCGAATGACTTTCCTTAATCACTGGGCGGTGTGTAAGGTGGCAGATCCAGTTTGAGGCCTGGTGGGAGAGTGATGAGTAAGTGCCACCTGGGTGTGGTGCCGAGGGAAAAGGCCCCAACCTAGGCAGAAAGTGAGTGGAAGGAGGTGAGGAGTGTCCAAACGTGCTGCCCCGATTTTCCAAGCCCCTAATCCCCATCTGTGTCCTCTTCCTTCCTTGTTCAAGTCCTGTTCACCTGCAGATGCCCTTCCCACGCTCGTCCCAAAACACCATTTCACAGCTCCATGTATATATTCACTTGGTTTCCACACCGTACAGCTGAGCACTTAATTAGCTGGAACCGAGCATTTTACTACATACTGTCGATGGACGCTTGAAACAATATCGACTTCTCAGCAGTGAGGAACTCAAGATGTCTCCTGGGACGGGTTGGCTGGCGCCCAGCAGACTACCCACAGGTGGTGGATCATGTCACCTGTCCCAGGGGTTGGCTCTTAGCTGTGCCCACTCAGAAACCCTATATCCAAAATTTTCCAAGTGGTTTGGACTCAAGCTACTGAGTCACCCTGAGAAGGCTCCCAGGAGTGGGCACACAAGTCACAATGCTCATTTATTAATTTGCAAGGAGACTGTGGGAACATCACAGAGACTGTATGTTGTCTCTTCTCTTCATCCTCAACAAGCCGTATAGGAAACCAAAGGTCAGAAGGTGGCCTGTGTTTAGCAAAGCTGGAGTCAGAGCTAGGCAGGAGGGTAGGGGGCAGTGATGGCCAATCATGCAGGGCTCTGCCCACCTTTGGGATCCTCTCACCAATGGAGAGGTCCTGGCCAGGTAGGCCAGATACTCAGATCAGCCTGGCCACTGCCTCAGGGTAGTGTTTGCCTGGTAGGATTTCTCCCTTTCCTCTTCCACAATGTAGTGATTTTTCATTGTGTTTACTTATTTGTTTAGTGCTTTGCAAGCATTATCTCCCAGTGACATAGATTTGCATTTGCATAAGTTAAATAACTACTGCACAATCTCAGGGTTGTAGGGCCAGGCCACGGGGTAAATGCTGTATGCAAATCAAGACAATCAGTGACCTGAATGGATCAATAGGAAGCCAGAGCGAATGCACTCGAGTGGTCCCTGATCAGCACGGAGGCCCTGGGCAGCAGTAGGGCCAAGGCTGGCACCTAGCACAGCAGCCCTGTGTGAGCCTGGGGGTGAAGCAGTCCTAAGGCAGTGCCTGCTTTGGCTGCCTCAGGCCACCTGCCCTGCCCAGTGGCCTCTTTGGATTTAAAGGGCTCTCCCTGGTCTCTGTCCAGGCCACTCATGGCTCATCTTTGGTGAGCTGCATCTCCAGTGGCCCAGAGCCAAGGTGTGGCCACATGGGCTTTAGAGAAGGGCACACTTGGGTCGAGTCCTGGCTCCACCACTCATTAGTTGTGTGCTCTCAGTAGTTGGGCAAGCAAGCACCTTGACTCTTCGAAGGCTCAGTTTCATCATCAGTAAAGTGGGCATAACCCCACATAGAGCCGTTGGAGGGTTGAGCCAGATGAAGCCTAGAAAGCGCTGAGCACAGCGCCTGGCACAGCGGCAGTCTGGCCTGTAGGAGCTACTCAGGGCAGCAGAGGCCGATCGAGGGTCTACATTCTCTGCTGAATTGGGCCCCCAGGTTCCCTGTCAGCTCACTGCTCCCTCCTCTGAGGCCTGGACAAAGGGCAAGGCCGAAGGGACCCAGACTGTCCCGGACAGGGGGAGGGAGATCCTTGGTGCGCTTCCCATTGGTTCGTTCCGAGCTGAGGACAAAGCTGCTTGTCCTGACCTTTCGGCTGACTCCGGGAGAGGGAAAGGCAGGTCTGGGGCAGGACCTGTAACAGGCAACCAGAGAAGGAGGAAAGGTGAGGAGGTTTCGTGGGGGAAAGAGGGCCATTTGGGAGAGCACAGAGGCCTATAGGTGCCTCTTCGAGGTTTTGGGGCTTGTGGTGTTTGCCCAGAGAGAGCACATTCCCCCTCCATCCACGTGGCCCACCGCATGACATCAGTGGAATGGCAGCACCTT